AGGAAACAGGAGGAAACAGGAGGAAAAAGAAGCTAAAATAGCTAATTTTCTCTAGGTTTCAGAAGTTACATTAGGGAGTTTTTGGGCGCAATTTTGATGCTTTTCCGTCCTTCCCTGCCATGGGGATTTGCCGCTGGGAGTGGTTCGGTTTTAGGCGACTGCCTTTTGAAGATGCCCTTTTGAATAGAAGGGATAGCAGGTAGCAGGAGCAGGAGCAGCAGCAGGAGGAAACAGGAGGAAACAGGAGGAAAAAGTAGCTAAAATAGCTAATTTTCTCTAGGTTTCAGAAGTTACATTAGGGAGTTTTTGGGCGCAATTTTGATGCTTTTCCGTCCTTCACTGCCATGGGGATTTGCCGCTGGGAGTGGTTCGATTTTAGGCGACTGCCTTTTGAAGATGCCCTTTTGAATAGAAGGAATAGCAGGTAGCAGGAGCAGGAGCAGCAGCAGGAGGAAACAGGAGGAAACAGGAGGAAAAAGTAGCTAAAATAGCTCATTTTCTCTAGGTTTCAGAAGTTACATTAGGGAGTTTTTGGGCGCAATTTTGATGCTTTTCCGTCCTTCACTGCCATGGGGATTTGCCGCTGGGAGTGGTTCGATTTTAGGCGCCTGCCTTTTGAAGATGCCTTTTTGAACAGAAGTAATAGCAGGTAGCAGGAGCAGGAGCAGCAGCAGGAGGAAACAGGCGGAAACAGGAGGAAAAAGAAGCTAAAATAGCTATTTTTTTCTAGGTTTCAGAAGTTACATTAGGGAGTTTTTGGGCGCAATTTTGATGCTTTTCCGTCCTTCACTGCCATGGGGATTTGCCGCTGGGAGTGGTTCGATTTTAGGCGATTGCCTTTTGAAGATGCCTTTTTGAACAGAAGGACTAGCAGGAGCAGGAGCAGCAGCAGCAGGAAACAGGAGGAACAGGAGGAAAGAGGAGGAAAAAGTAGCTAAAATAGATAGTTTTCTATAGGTTTCAGAAGTTACATTAGGGAGTCTTTGGGCGCAATTTTGATGCTTTTCCGTCCTTCACTGCCATGGGGATTTGCCGCTGGGAGTGGTTCGATTTTAGGCGATTGCCTTTTGAAGATGCCTTTTTGAGCAGAAGGACTGGCAGGAGCAGGAGCCGCAGCAGGAGGAAACAGGAGGAAACAGGAGGAAAAAGTAGCTAAAATCATCCTTTTCTATAGGTTTCAGAAGTTACATTAGGGAGTGTTTGGGCGCAATTCTGATGCTTTTCCGTCCTTCACTGCCATGGGGATTTGCCGCTGGGAGTGGTTCGATACTGCAAAAAATAGGGAAATAAATAGGGAAATAAATACTGCAAAAAATAGGGAAATAAAAAGGGAAATAAATAGGGAAATAAATAGGGAAATAAAAAGGGAAATAAATAGGGAAATAAATAGGGAAATAAATAGGGAAATAAATCGGGAAATAAATAGAGAAATAAATATTAGAATAAAAAGGGGAATAAATACGGAAATCAATATTGGAATAAATAGGGAAATAAATAGGGAAATAACTAGGGAAATAAATCGGGAAACCAATAGGAGAATAAATAGGGAAATAAATAGGGAATAAATAGGGAAATAAATAGGGAAATAAAAAGGACTCCCGCTTGCCATCTCACTTTTTACTTTTTCGTGTTGTTTGCTTCTTTTCTTTGTTTCCCGGTTCAACGGATTCTCTCTCTCCTCTTCTATTGTCGCGTTTTTTCTTCTCCTAATGATTTCGCCTTCTTTCTGCTCCGTTTTTGTTTTCTTGCTTTTTTATACTGTCCTCCTACGTGGGCATTTTTTGTTTTCTTCTTTTGTGTTTTTTTTCGTCCTCTTTTTAGGATTCCCTTGAGTGGGGTGGGCCCGTCTCCTCCTTCCATTCCCCTCTCGCGCGCCTCTGTTTTTTCTTCTTATTTTTTATACGGTTTCCAGGCTGTCCCTACGTCTCATTTCTACGGTGTCTGTCCTATTCTTTAACTATTACCCCGGGTCTCCGGTTTTTTCTTTTTCTCCTAACTATTTTCCGCTGATTTCTTCATCTTTTGCTTCCCCTCGTGTTGTTTCTTCTTCCACGTTCCCTTTTTCACTGGCCTTTTTTATACTTTTTGTAGTTTGGGTTTACCCGCTCATCCTTTCTTTCGGTCGCTCTGTATCTCCTTGGTCGCGACACTCTTCCCATTCCGTGCTATCTTCCCCTTAGCTCTGTCCTTCTTGTTTCCTCTTTCTTCTGTTTTTCCTCTTCATTTAAACGGGTTTTGAGCCCTCCCGCATTCCTCCTTTTCTCTTTGCCTATCTGCTCGCGGGTTTCTTCCTTTGTGATGCTCCGTTCTACTTTCTTTCGACGCTTTCCGCGTTCTTCTGGTTGCTCGTCCTGTCCTTTCCTTCTTTTTTTTATTTGTTTTTTTAGGCTAGTTTTGGGGTTTTTGTCAATTTTGTTTTTTCCGTCCTTACTCCATCTGATTTTGGTCTTCTTTTACGCTTACCTTTTCGTGTCTTTTTCTCAGATGACTAGCTGAGCTAGAACTGGGAGGAAACCAGGAGGTAACAGGAGGAAAAAGTAGCTAAAATAGGGGGCCGTTAGGGCATAAATAGGGAAAGAATGGGGTGTTGCTAAGCAAAAAAAAGAAGGAAACAGGAGGAAACAGGAGGAAAAAGTAGCTAAAATAAGGAAGGTTCAGGGAAAAATAGGGAGCAAAAAGGTTGCCGGCATTGAAATAAATCCTTTCGGGCCCTTGAAATAAATGGGGCGGAAGTAGGGAAATAACAGGGAAATAAAAAGGGAAATAAATAGTAACCTTGTTCAAAATAAATAGGGAAGAAATAAATGCTAAATAGGGAAATAAATAGGGAAATAAATGGCGAATAAATA